TTTATACTGAAACATAGCATACAGAGTGCAGGACAGTTCTCCTGGTGGCCTTGGACCAACCCAGCTCTTGCCCCTTTCTGGCTTATAGTTCTCAAAATAACTTGAATGTGCTGGGAATGCAACATCCTGTGATAAGGAGGGATTCGCTACAACTGCCTGTGCTCTATTCCAGTCCCCATCAGAAACAGGATGTCCTGGCTGGGCTCGGTGGTTCATGCCTGTAATCCCAGCACTTTGGGAGACCGAGGTGGATGGATGACCTGAGGTCAGGAGTTCAAGACCAGCCTGGCCAACGTGGTGAAACCCTGCCTCTACTAAAATACAAAAAATTAGCCTGGCGTGGTAGTGGACACCTGTAATCCCAGCTACTCAGGAGGCCAGGCAGGGAAATCGCTTGAACCTGGGAGGCAGAGGTTGCAGTGAGCCGAAATCGCACCACTGCACTCCAGTCTTGGCGACAGAACGAGACTCTGTCTCAAGAAAAAAAAAAAAAAAGAAAGAAACAGGATGTCCTTCAACACTTTAGTCCAGTGAATCATGTATCTCCGGGGTATAAAGCCCAGGGTGGGCTGCTTCTTGGGGGCCCTCAGTTGCAGTGCAAGTGGGGCATGCACAGTTGAGATGCCTTCTGCCCCAGGCTGCTTTCCTGAGCCTTAGGTGACCAGCTCACAATGAACCCTAGGCTTCTGTTATCCCTTGGTGCCTATCTGTAAGTAATAGATCCTCTTCAGGTAACTTGTTGCATATGTGGGTGTTTTGTCTCACTGGACTCAGATAAGTTGGTAACTAAGTGCACAGTGAACTTGTTTCACAGAGATAATTACTCAAAATATAAATGTATGATGAATTAGCAGAGTAAACAGCTTTGTACCATGAGGCAGGTAAAGAAATGAGACATGACCAGCACTACCAAAGCCCCTTTCATGAAACGTAAGTTCCTCCCACTTTGCAAAAGGACTTGACTTCTAACACTATCATTTTTAATTTTTTGCCTATCGTGAACTTTCCATATTTGGAATCTCACAGAATGTGTTCTTTGAAGCTTGGCTTCTTTCGTGAAGCATTATATTCATGAGATGCATTATGTTGTTGTGTGCGGTAGCAGCTCATGCATTTTTATATATAATACATTTTTCTTATCTGATCCTTTTTTTAATTTTAATTTTTATTTATTTATTTATTTTTTTGAGACGGAGTTTCACTCTTGTTGCCAAGGATTGCAATGGCGTGATCTTGGCTCACTGCAACCTCCGCCTCCTGGTTTCATGCGATTCTCCTGCCTTAGCCTCCCGAGTAGCAGGGATTACAGGCACCTGCCACCAGGCCCGGCTAATTTTTTTTGTATTTTGAGTAGAGACGGGGCTTCCCCATGTTGGCCAGGCTGGTCTGGAGCTCCTGGTCTCAAGTGATCCGCCCACCTCGGCCTCCCAAAGTGCTGGAATTACAGGTGTGAGCCACCACGACATTTGGGTTGTTTCTAGTTTGTGGCTATTATGAATAAATATTGCAATGAGCATGCTTGTCACATGGTGCACATGGGAACATATATATATATATATTTTAAATGTGTAAAAAGGCTTTATTTGCAGGGAAGCAGGAATTTAATCAAAGAGGCCAAATCCCATGTCATCGTCTGACTCTTCAGACTCCTCCTTCTTCTCATCTTTCTTCTCCTCTGCTGCAGCAGGCGCGGAGCCAGCAGCAGACGCTGCAGAGCCTGGGGCAGCAGAGACGGCCACGGCCCCACCGGCAGGTACACTGGCAAGCTTGCCAATACCCTGGGCAATGACGTCTTCAATGTTTTTTCCATTCAGCTCACTAATAACCTTGTTGAGCCGGTCGTCGCCTGCCTCGATGCCCACGCTGTCCAAGATCTTCTTGATATCCTTGACGCTGGGGGAGGAGTTACCCCCGAGGGCAGCCAGCAGGTAGGAGGCGATGTAGCGCCTCGGGCCCCCCGTCTGCGGTGTCGGAGAGGCCTCATGTGTGCGACCTTGGCGGTGTCAGGGAGGGAAAAAAAAAGCCGGAACACATTTTGATTGGTATGTGCCTGGAGGTGGAACTGATGGTTCATAAAGTCACTTCAACTTCAGGTGATAATTTGAACCAGCTTCCCAAAGTAGTGGTACCAATGGACATACCCTCCTGCAGGTATAAAACTGTCTGGACTCTGTTCTAGTCTCGTTCAGAAACAGGATGTCCTTCAATATATTAGTCCAGTGAGTCATGCGGCCCTGGGATATAAAACTTACCTGGGGTATAAGAATTGTGAAGTGGTCATCCAAGGCTCAGGAAAGCTGCCTGGGGCAAATGGAGCAGGTATGAGACTTCCAGTTGTTCCCCATCCTTTCTTGGAATGTCCCCATCCTTTCTTGTCTGATTTTAGTATCAAAGTGTTTCTGGTCTCATAACATGAATTTGGCAGTGTTCGCTCTTTTTTCAGTCTTTGAAAGAGTTTGTTTAAAATTGGTGTTCCTCCCGGGAGGCAGAGGTTGCAGTGATGTGAGATCACGCCATTGCACTCCATCTCAAATAAATAAATTTGAGCAAACTCCGTCTCAAATAAACAAATAAAATAAAATAAAATAAAATAAAATTTGCATCCTTAGATGTGTGGATGGCATTCACAGGTGAAGCCATTTAGTCTCAGAAAGTTTTTTAAGTTGCAGATTTAATTTATTTCTTTATTATAGGATTATTCATATTTTCTTTTTCTTTCTTTTTTTTTTTTTTGAGGCAGAGTTTCGCTCTTGTTGCCCAGGCTGGAGTGCAATGGCACGATCTCGGCTCACTGCAACCTCTGCCTCCCAGGTTCAAGCGATTGTCCTGCCTCAGCCTCCTGAGTAGCTGGGATTACAGGCATGTACCACTGTGCCCGGCTAATTTTGTATTTTTAGTAGAGATGGGGTTTCTCCGTGTTGGTCAGGCTGGTCTCGAACTCCTGACCTCAGGTGATCCACCCGCCTCGGCCTCCCAAAGTGCTGGGATTACAGGCGTGAGCCACCGTGCCTAGCCCATGTTATCTTTTTTAGGAGAGATTTTGTACATTGTGTTTTTAAAGGAATTTGTTTATTTCACTAGGTTTTCAAATTTATTGGCTTAACTTCATCATATCCATGTATTATTGTTTTATGTTCATGAGTGATTTCTATTTTTATTTTTTAAAACATTGACTCTATTTTCACTATATAAAAATTTTAATGATACGGAGAAATAAAATTTTAAAAAGAAAAGTAAGCAGATGATCTGCTAAATGGCAATTAAGCTAAACTGTGGCCTAAAAATGGGCTTATCAATAAATATGACTTAAACAATTGATTCAATTTGCTTAATTCTCTTATTAAGACATAGGTGATAAATCTTTCTGCTCACTTTAGTAAAATAAAATCTAAGGTGCAATTGATGGGTTTGGATTTTATCTTTAGCCCTTTAGTGTCATCTCTTCCTTATTTAATAGTTTAAAACTGAAATTTCTTGATTTTCATATGAGTTCACGATTCTTTGAGAATCCAAAGGGAATCAAAATTTTCTTATCCAGTTCCAGCAAGAGTAAGATTGCTCTAGGGAGAATATTTCTTAGAGTAGGAGCTCCATTATTTCAGTCCATTGTCAAGGTAATCTTTTACAGAGACAAATTCCCAATCTGATTAATCATCACTTTGACTTTCAGTACCTAAAAATTAGAAGAATTTTGCAGTTGTGATTTACTATATACCTGTAAAATGTGAGCTAGACCTATCTAGTCGTGTCAGTGAAATTGTTTCTGCTGTCTTCTAACTATTCTATATGATAAACTGTGTTTGCCTCAGCCACAGATTTGAGTCAAACAAAATATTATGTAAATTATTCATTATAAACATAATTTGATTAACCACTTAAAATTTTAAAGTTCAATTCGTAGTAAAATCCTTTTCTTTTATTTTCTTCCATCATAAGCAGTTCTTCAAATTATGTTACTTCATGTAAATCAAAAAGTCTGTGATGCATCTTTTTTTTTTTTTTTTTGAGACAGAGTCTTACTCTGTCACCCAGGCTGGAATGCAGTGCCACTGTGTTGACTCACTGCAACCTCTGTCTCCTGGGTTCAAGCAATTCTCCTGCCTCAGTCTCTTGAGTAGCTGGGATTACGGGTACCCAATACCATGCCCATCTAATTTTTATATTTTTAGTAGAGATGGGGTTTCACCATGTTGGCCAGGCTGGTCTCGAACTCCTGACCTCAGGTGATCCACCTGCCTTGGCCTCCTAAACTGCTGGGATTACAGGCGTGAGCCGCTGTGCCTGGCCAGATGCATTTTAATTCATGTTATTTTGTTCAGTCTTCTTTCGGTCTTCATGTCAACAGATGTTTGAAACCATTATCATGTCTTTAACTTCCTTTCTCCAAGCTGAGTGCCAAATCTTTACTTTTTTATATATAACCCATTCTTTTCTTTTCTTTTTTTTTTTCATCTTTTCTTTTCTTTCTTTATTTTTTTGAGATGGAGTATCACCCTGTCCCCCAGGATGGAGCGCAGTGGCACAATCTTGTCTCACTGCAACTGCTGCCTCCCGGGTTCAAGCAATTCTCCTGCCTCAGCCTCCTGAGTAGTTGGGATTACCAGCTCCTACCACCACACCCAGCTAATTTTTGTATGTTTTAGTAGAGATGGGGTTTCACCATGTTGGCCAAGCTGGACTCAAACTCCTGATCTCAAGTGATCCGCCTGCTTCAGCCTCCCAAAGTGCTGGGATTACAGGCTTGAGCCACCACACTTGGTCTCAACTTTTATTTTAGATTTGGGTGGTAGCTGTGAAGCTTTGTTACCTGGGTATCTTAAAAGGAAAATAAATCTTGGAACTCCCAAATCACTAAGCCAAAGGGAAAAGTCAAGCTGGAAACTGCTGAGGGCAAACCTGCCTCCCATTCTCTTCCTAAGAAAGTTAGCTACTTAGATAATAAAGCTACATCCCCACAAGGAATTTCCTTGTGGACAAAGAACAGACAGATCTCAAAGTCATCCCTCTGCTCACTGAGATAAATCCTTATCTGATTGCCTCCTTTGGAAAGGCTCATCAGAAACTCAAAAGAATGCAACTGTCTCTTACCTATCTATGACCTGGAATCCCCCTCCCCAATTTGAGTTGTCCCGCCTTTCTGGATGGAGCCAATGTACATCTTACATATGTTGATTGATGTCTCATGTCTCCCTAAAATGTATAAAACCAAGCTGTGCCCTGGCTACCTTGGGCAGATGTCCTCAGAACATCCTGAGGCTGTGTCACGGGTGCGCATGCTTAACTTTGGCAAAATAAACTTCCAAAATTGACTGAGAACTGTCTCAGATATTTGGGGATCACAATATACCGTGTGATGCTGAGGTTTGGGATATGAATAATAATTTTTAATTTTTAAACCCTTTCTCCCCTCCCTCCCCGGACTTCTTTCTTGACTATTGACGATTTCTCTTTTCCTCCTGTTCAAGCTCACCAGGAAATAATTGTACATTGTCTTAAAAGAAACAACTTTTGGCTTCATGATCCTCTCTTTTGTAAGTAGATTTTTAATTTTATTAACTTCTGTTCTTATCTTTATTATTTTCTGTTTTCTACTTTATTTAGGCTTAATGTACTGTTCTTTTTCTTTCTGAGGTGGGTGCTTGTTAATTTTGACTTTCTTCCTTTCTAACATGTGCCTTTGAAGCTATGAATTTTCCGTTAATCATGGCCTTGACTTCCTCCCATAAGTTTATTTTATTTTTATTTATTTATTTATTTTTGAGACGGAGTCTTGCTCTGTTGCCCAGGCTGGAGTGCAGTGGCGCGATCTCGGCTCACTGCAAGCTCCACCTCTCGGGTTCACGCCATTCTCCTGCCTCAGCCTCCCAAGTAGCTGGGACTACAGGCGCCCACCAGGGAGCCCGGCTAATTTTTTGTAGGGGATTTCACTGTGTTAGCCAGGATGGTCTCGATCTCCTGACCTCGTGATCCACCAGCCTCCGCCTCCCAAAGTGCCGGGATTACAGGTATGAGCCATCACGCCCGCCATTGCTCTTCTTTCTAGTTTTGAAGCAGCGTCGTTGTCTGGGCTAAATACCCGAGGTTCGTAGTCTCATAACAAGGAAATTTGAGTATGTGGACACGCAAGAAGTGGGTTTAGGAGTTGAGGTTTAATAGGCAAAAGAAAGAGAAAGGAGACTAGAATAGCACTCTCTCCTGCCAGAAAGAGGGGCTCCCGAATGGGACTTCGGCCCACAGCAAAGTGCTCTGGATTTTATAGACTGGCTTGATGAGGCGCTGTATGATTTATAGCGCCCAAAGATTGGATGGACCAGGTTTGACGTCTACATAGTATGCAAGGAAGCTGGCGACCCCATCCTAAAATTCTATTATACAAATGGAGTCGTTACTTGGCCGGTGCCATGTTGTCTTCTCCTCACCGTACACGTGAAGGAAGATGGAGCCGCCATGTTGAACACGCCTAGCCCCCAGGTAGCCCCTTTCCCATTGGCACAGCTGCCAGCATTCACTCGTGCAAGCTTCTAGCTTGCCTTTTTATGTCTGCAGGTCGATTTTACAGGCTGTTATTTGTTAGAAAAGAAAATGATTGCCCGGGGGTGGTGGCTCACACCTGTGATCCCAGCTCTCTGAGGTCAGGAGTTCGAGACTAGCCTGACCAACATGGCGAAACCCTGTCTCTATTAAAAATATAAAATTAGCCTGGCGTGGTGGCGGGCACCTGTAATTCCAGCTACTTGGGAGAGTGAGGCAGGAGAATCGCTTGAACCCGGGAGGCAGAGGTTGCAGTGAGCCGAGATCGCACCATTGCACTCCAGCCTGAGCAACAAGATGAAACTCCATTTCAAAAAAAAAAAAAAAAGAGGAATTATTTGGGAGCTGCTTTGTATTAAAAGGAAAACCTTACTGAGGACTTCCTTACCTTCACTATCTGCCAAATAATTCCTTTTTAAACTCCTATATCAGTTTCACAGGTGTGAGGTCAGATTATAGATT